GAAACGCTGGCATTAGAGGGAGGCAGTGCCCTGAGGCGCAGACAGCACGGGCTCCCGGCCAGCGGCCTGGGTTCCAGTCCAGTCTGCCCCTGGGCAGCCGAAGAACCTCGGGCAGCAGCGCACCTCTCTGCCCCGTGCCCCCACCTCCTGAGGCTGTTGCGAAGATAGAATGAATTAGCACCTGTGCACAGGCCTGTTACATACATGGGGAGGACTCGGTAAACACAGGTATTATCACCCCCACTCCCACCCTGTGCCCCCAGCCAAGACGTGACAGCGCTCGCCTCCAACCCCGCCCCGTGGAACAGAAGAGCGTGTGCTATTCGTGCCCCGGGACGGTTAAAAGAAATGTCAGCGTTCTCTTCCCCCTCTTCTTCTGGGGAACAGAATTTGGGTCTCTCCATTCCGCTCCGTTCCCTGAGTGAGATGAAACCCAGCGGCCTGGCCCGTATCGCCCTGCCCAGCGCCCCTCACTGAGGCTGGCTCTCCTGGAAGCCAGGAGGTCCCGGGTGGGGCTCCGTCCAGATGGACACTGTGCAAGAGCCCCCACCCCCTCAGGTCACCACTTGATGGGCCAGGACCACTCAGGTGGGTGGGAAACCCCTCTAGCAGCTGCTGTCCCAGGGAAACCTCGAGGCTGGAGCGCCCCTTCTAACACTCACAGCAGCAGAGCAGCCAATGGGCACTGAGCCCTCCCCATTGCTGCTTTCCCTTGTGCCCCTCCCCAACTCCCAACAAGCTACAAAAATCTGCTGCTTCTGAGCCCTGTAACCTCCGGCAAGGCACGCTGTCCTGTCTCAGCTGGAGGCGGGTGAGGGAACGCCAGGGGCTCAGGCCTGCAGTGTTAGGACAGCACCTGGCACTAGCCCTGTCGCATGCATGTTAGCTGGCGATAAAGTGCTTTTAAACACCCCTATGGGCCCCGTTTTCTGGGTGGAGGGGTTCGAATTGGAAGCGTGACTTGCCCCGAGGCACAGAGCTCGTGGGCTGCAGGGCTAGATGAGAGCCCAGCCACACGGCCGTCCACGTGCTCCCGGAGCCTGAGTGGGTGCCCGGGGCTCCCCTGGTGCTCAGCTCGCACCCCCTCACCTGATGTTGCCCAGCGTGGCGACCAGGAGGCCCAGCGCCAGCCCGTGGGCCAGCGCCGGCTGCAGCAGCCCTGCTTCCGGCCCGTTCCCGATGACCGACAGGCACCCGATGAAGATGAAGAGGGCAGAGCCCAGCAGTTCGACCAGGCAGGGCCGCACCAAGTGCTCATGCCACCACCCGTGCCCCCTGCCTTCCACGCTCGGCTCCTTCCCCTTGCCGCTGCCAATTTCAAGGTCCCCCATGGACACGGCGGCCTACAGAAGGGAAGGGAGTGGGACTGGGAGGAAGGGCGGCCAGGGGAACCCTCCCCCAACTCCGGCCCCTGGAGTTAACTCTCAGTGACCCTGGAGGGCCAGGCTGGGGAGCCGAGGGCAGTGGGCTCACCTCTGCGGACATGAGGGCTGGCTGGCCGGCCGCACCTGCTCTCGGGCACACGCGTATCTCGGGCTGGAGCTGCCGATCCCAACGCAGGCTCTGCCCTTTCACAGGCGCGAGAAAGCAGTGAGCAGGTGGGAGGTGGCCCTGCGGCCCAGAAAAGGAAACAGTTTTCTTTTTAATCTCAGCTGGGCAGGGCAGGAGCTGGTTAGGGATTGCTGAGCTTTCTGCCAGCAGGGGAAGGCGCTGGCTTGGCGGCAGCATCTGGAGGGGAGGCCCGGCCCCGCGGTCACCGTCAGGGTCCAAAGCAGACCCGCATGTGCAACAGGACGCGGGGACTGCCCCTCGTTAGGCCCGCACACGGGAGGTAGCAGCCGACTCATCCTCAGGGTGTTCCGCCAGTTCCCACAGACATCTCCTCGTTCTCGAGACCCAACACCTCCGCTCACGCACCTCATCGCCTGACCCAGGCCAAGCTGTGACGGGTGACCCTTCACTGACAGGCAGTTGGGCCCGTGGAGAAGCCGTGGGCCTTAGGAACAGGCCTCCGGGGTTCCGCCCAACTCTGAGCACTGACTGACGGTCTCTGCACTTCAGCTTGCGCCCTACCATGTGCGGATGATGGTGACCAGGTCGCTGTGAGGCTTACGGAGTTAGCACATATATGCAAAGTGCTTCCGACAGTGCCAGTCACATGATAAGCACAATGAGCTGCCTACTCATTTATAACATGTATTGATGTGTAATCAATATTGATTGAGTACTTTCTACATGCCAGGCTTTGGGCTACATACCCTACAGGTGCTCTCTCATCTAACCCCCACAACAACCCCATTGGGCAGGTACCTTAATAATAGTACATTTACAGATGGGGATGTGGAGATTCAGGAAGCTTAAGTTTCACAGGGTTTGTGATTGCAAAACTTGTGGGCTACACCACAAAAAAAGACAAGTACCGTATGATTCCACTTATACAAGGTCGCGAGAGTAGATAAATTCAGAGAGAAGGTAGAATGGTGGCTGTCAGGGGCTGGGGAGGGGAAGGGGGGTTCGTGTTTAATGGGCACAGAGCTTCAGTTTGGGAAGATGAAGTCTGGAGGTGGATGGTGGTGATGGCACAACAATGGGAATGCACTTAAAGCCACTGGACCACACACTTAAAATAATTGATTTCATAATTTTATGCTACATATATTTTACCACAATTGAAAACAAACAAACAAAAAACACTGAATTAAGCCACTACACTCAAGTGCTTTTTAAAATGGAAGGAAGAAGGGAAGGGA